GGGTCAGTTCGGGTCCAAGTATTGGACCTAAACGCTATTTGGGTCCTGGTCCTGAGTGTTATATTTAAGTAATATTTAATATATAATAATTTAATAATATTTAAGTATATATTTTAATCATCATATTTAAATAATATTTTTATTTTTATTTTTCTTTGGTCAGGTCCCATCAGGGTTTGGGTTCAGATCCGATAACTTTGAGTCCTGATTCCAGTCCCAATCCCATAATTTTTTTCATGTCCGGGTCGCGGACCCGACCCAACCTGTTTCCACCCGCCCCATCTATGCAAGAAAAGCACCTTTGTCTCAATTGGACTTTCCAAAATTTTGTATGAACAAAGAATACTGCCCAAGTTTGCCTTTATTGGATGCTTTAGTGTTTGAGTATGGACCTTTTTGTCCCAATGCTTGGGTGCAAGGCTAGAAATCCATGCTTCATCACAAAAAAAAAAAAGGATAAAGTACGTTAGCATCCCATGCTTTTCTACCCAAAAGAAGTAGAGGACAGGAAAATGAAAATGGTTTGAGAGGGCTGCAACTCTATCAAAATAAGTAAAGCCTCACTTCAGAAATCTTCGAAAATTATAATTCTAGCATCGGGAAATCTTCAAATTGATCATCTTGATCTTGAGCATCATGATTGTGAAAAAAAAATAAGATTTCAAACCCAAAAAATAGTAATATTGTAACAAATTATCTTAACCTTCCATTTCGTCCTAAAATAAGTATTTATGCATCTACAAGATATGTACCAATGTTTGAGCTTCAAATTTCATAGTTGGTGTTGGAAATTAATTTTAGAGCTATTATGGAGATTTCCGATGCCCCAAAGTACTTTTCGGATGAGGATTTGAAGTGAGGCTTTACTTTGTGTTCATAAAGCCTAGGTCTTATAAAAACTGCATCCAGGATAAGTGGCCATTTTCATCTAAATTAGGCCATTGCTTTGTTGTGAGAAAACAAAAGTGTCTTTGATTGAAAGAAGACACCATTATGGCCATATTCATGATGGTAAAGCTTGTATTATTGCTTTTTGAGGAGAGATGAATGATTTTTGTAGCAAAAGATCCAAATGTTAATATGAAAAAAGAATACCATAAGCATCTTGGGCCATGGTATATACGTAGCCAGAGAGGCATGCATCATCTATTTTTAACAGTGCCAGAAAAATAGTAAAGCTGGTAATGGGAATGTCGAACCGGTAAACCATGGGTTGACCTGACTGGGTTTGGGTTCAGATCTCAATTCTACACCCAACGAGTCAGATCCAGGTCCAAAAGTTTGGACCCAATAGTCGCGGGTAGGGTCAGTCCCAACAATACCCATTTACACCCAAAAAGATAAGTACAAGTTGTCAACCTTGTGTTGTAGAAGTAAGGCACGCCATAAAAGTTTATAGAAAATGATTGTTCCAGCGTTAGAAAATCTTTTAATTGACCATCTCAACCTTAAGATACATGATATGGAGAAGAAAAAAGGATTTCAAATCCTAAAGCAGTGGTATCTTGTAGTTTATTCTATAAACTATTCATCATTAAGATTTTTAAATGTTTATAAATCTACTCAATCTACATTTTTTAAAAAATTAAATTTCATAACTAGAGGTGAATATAGATTTTCATGCCATCTCAAGAATTTCAAACACCAAAATTACGTCTTTTGACAAAATTTGGAGGTGCGCCTTAGTTTGATTGTAGGTTGAGACCTCATACAAACCGCATCCTATACGTACATATCTAAATTTTCTTTTGCAAATTTTTATACACAAAATACCTTTTTGAATGCTGTTTGGGTGGACTGGGCCAGGCTCGCTGACCTGACTTAGGACTCGCTGAGCTGATTCGGCCCAGCTCATGCCGAACCTAGAGCCGATTCTGGCTTTAAAAACTCTCTAACCATTGTGGAAAGAGATGAATTTTAGTTGCTGTACAATACACCATAAACCATGATTGATCTCTACTGTATGGTAGTTGGTCGCTTACGACTCATGTAAGTGGGATACCTGCTGTATGAGTAGTATACGCTTCCATGATCATTGTCTACCCAAAAACATTTCGTTTTAGAAGAAAGGAGGAAAAAATCATTTAGGTGTAAAAAACCCTTACAACAAAACGATTAATCACAATTCACAATAGAGGGTTTCACTTTTGGATACAAGAACTTCCCCTGCAGCATAGAAGTTCTATCCTCTCCCTACTATCTAGCCGTCCAATTTGATCAAGAGAGCCACTCACCATTTGATCTTAGATCCGATGTCTTCAAGTATTTCATTTTTAGTTTTTTTTTATAAAATATGTATAACTATGAAATTTGGTACATACCATCTTCTCATTGGGGCGCACCTATAAAAAATATTAAAAATAATTTTTCGATAAATATAATGATCAAAATACCCCTGGAAAATTTAAAAGGTATTTTGGTCATTTTATTTTATTGAAAATATTTTTTTTATATTTTTCGCTACTGCAAGTTTAATAAAGGAATTGTTGTCCAAAATTTGGCGCCAAAATAATTTATTAAAAAATAATTAAAAATAAAATGGTATAGAGACGTGACATTGTGATTGAGGCAATCCTAACCCTCCATTCATAATGGATAGTTAGATAAGGGAGAGGATAGAACTTGTATGCTGAAGGGAGAGCATATAAAGCTTTCCCCTAAGTCTAATGAGAAAAGTAAAGTCTCACTTGAAAACCTCATAAAAAAAAATTTGTAGTTCTAACATGTGTACGGCTGTGATGGCTCAAGAATCTGTTTCCACTATTGATTATGTAATTAGAAAAAGTTCATGTAAGGTTGCAACCTTAAATGTAGAATAACATATGCACCTCAAAAATCCGGAAAAGGTTGTTTTAAAGTTGAGAAACCCTCTAATCGATCATCTCAACAATGATATGTATGAATATAGAAAAAAAAGGATTTTGAGTCTCAAAAATAATACATCTTGTGCCGCATTATCTAGACCGTCCATTATCAAGATTTTCATATGTTTATAGATCTTCTTGATTTTAAGCATTTTTCGAGTTTAAATTTTTATAATTAGATATAAAAATAGATTTTAGATAATCCTAATAATTTTTTACATCAAAATTACACGTTATGATAAAATTTGGAGGTAAGCCTTAATTGGATTGTTTGAGGTTGTAACCTTATAGAAGCCACACCCGATGTAATTTGATGCTTCAATAATGGTATACATCTTAGAGATATATGGACACTAGAAAATGGACGGCTTAGATAATGCATTAATAGACACACTATTTTTAGGTTCGAAATCATTTCCTCACATCATAATAGTCAAGTTCAAGATGATTAATTTGAGGGCTTTCCATCACTTGAGCTGCAAAATTCGATCAGATTTGAAGTGCAACTTTACTCTTTTTCGCAAGGCTTAGGCCTTATTTTAACTTTTTCCTTTAGTTTTTAATCACCTCTACTTATTTAAGGTTTTCAACCGTGAACCATAATAATTTGGAATTTTTCATGTTTTTTGAAGTGATACATGAGTAAAATGAGAGATAAAAGGGTGTGATTTTATAAGGTGTCAACCTTAAATTACCAAAGTAAGGCCCCCCTCTAAATCTTGCTAAAATGTGTGGGTCTGGAGCTAAAAACCCTTACGATGCCATAAAAATATGGTTTCATCTTAATTATAAAATTTAAAGCTCTAAAAATAGTGTAGATCAAGTATATCTATAAATACTTCAAAATTTTGAAAATAAACAGTCGAGATAATGTGTTATAAGATGCATTATGTTTAGGATTTAAAATATTTATTTTTTCAATTTTTTTTTCTTTCATATCTATGCATTTGGAGGTCAAGATCATTAATTTTAACGTTTTTGACATCCAAACAACTTTTCCAGTGGATTTTTTGAGGTACACCTTATTTCTATAGTTGAATATTTACACCTTATATAAACTTGCTCTATTGAAAAATACGCTCTCTATTTGGACACACAACGCTGGACTCCCTTGACAATGAGGTTGAATTACATGTCTACATGCAGTCAAACCTGGAGCATCGAGATTGCAACACAATTATCAGCGGGTGACTATAGAAGGTGATTCAACAAATGTAATTCAATGGTGCTCTCACCCCCTCGCAATACCTTGGCGATGGAGACCAAAATCCAAATGTAAATGTACTCATTATATACAATTCCTTTTTTTTTTCCTTTTCTTTAGTTCTTTCTTTGTGAATTGATTGTTTGTAACTTTTTCATTTCTTTTTTCTTCTTCCTTTTTTTTTTTTTTTTTTGTTGGCCTTTCTCTTCGAGTATTTAGAAGGAGTAGCAATAGACCCAACTTGGCACTCGAGGGGTAGACCCAATCCAATTTCAGGTATGGGACCAAAAAATTAGACCATGCAGGTCGATTTGGGCCCAAACACTACTCAGATCTTGGTCCGGGTCCGATAATATTTTCCAGGTCTTCATACATGGGATATAGTTAAATATATAGATATTCTAAGTTTTGAGTTGGGTCCGAGTCTTGATCATGGATTAGAGTCCCACACTATATTTTTGGGTCCGGGTCTGGGTTTGGTGAATTCAGAGTGCAGGTCTAAATCATTTTCTCAGGTCTCGGGCCAAGAAGTGAGCTCGATGTACATCTCACTTTGGTTAATAAAAACTATAATGAATATTCAAAATAATAATAATAATAATATAAAATTAAATTAAATTGGAGAGAAAGTAAAATACCCCCTCTAATGCGATTGGGATGTGTTGAGCCCTTGATGTTTTTCATTGACCCCTCTGATTATATTTTCCCAAAGGAAATTAGGATCCAAGAGATGGGCAAGTGATCGTTACTCTTGGGAGCACTCAGGTACTTTGAGGTTATTTTTGTGCTTTACTGAAAGAAGATGGGTATTTGCGTCCCTTGGATCAGAATAGTCAGGGTATTTCAGTCATCCCAAGTAATCAGCAGACAAAAAGGTACAAGACGCATACACAGTGGATATGGATGGTGTGTTGAATTTGCATAAGAAAAGAAGCTTCTCTCTCTCTCTCTAAAATTATAAATTTCATGATTTCATTTGTCTCCCCAACTCCCCAGGCATCCAATTTACAGAGCCCCAAAAGCCCATTTTCACTTTCTCAGACCCCCTCCCCTCCCAAAAGCCTGTCTGCTCTTTCTATCAACCCGTCTGTTTCTCTGTCTTAATCTCTTGTCTATTTCTCTCTCTCTCTCTCTCTCTCTCTTTCTCTCTCTCTCTCTCTAAAAATCCATCACTATGATTCAGCAGAGGAAACAAGTATCAGAAATGAGAGGTTCTTCAAGCCCCAAGTCTTTGATAGCTTCAAGCATTGTTACAATGGATGTTAAGACTCCTAAGCCTTTCCAATCTCCATGTCTTTTTAAGGTGAGCCCCCAAAAATTTTGGCCCCTTTTGTGGTTCTTTGTATTGTTGCTTTCTATGTGTTTTTCATTCAGTTGAAGAATGCAAACTCTTTCTATGCCACTCCTTTTCTTTGGAATCATTCAATAGGTTCCTCTCTCTCTCTTTCTCTCAACAACACTGCCCCCCTTCATGTGTTTCTCTCACTATAAGTACTATGTCACAGCATTCGTCATTCTGTTATTTTGATTTGAAATATTTTTAATGCTCTCTCTCACTCGCTCTTCATTTTTAATGCTCTCTCTCACTCACTCTTCATTCTTCATTCTGTTATTTTACTTTGAAACACTTTTATGCTCTCTCTCTCTCTCTCTCAGGAACCTGCATTTGAGGGGAACCCAAGCATCTTGAGCAAGGGCAAAGAGAACCCATTTGTGGAAGCATTTCATGATCACCATGTCCCACTCTGCAAGCTCAATCTCAGAGAAACTTCTGACTTTGTAAGGGCATTTCCAATGGCTAGAAATAGCGTTGATAAGCCTGGTTTGAGTTCACAAAAGAGATTAGAAGCTCCATTAACACCTGGTAGGGCTGCTTTCACCTTCAATGCCATTACTGAGCCAACAAGATCACCCATTGGGAATTTCTCGAGAAAGAACTTCCCCTCTAAATGGGATGATGCAGAGAAATGGCTAAATAGTAGTGGTTCTTGCCACGAATCCCCTGCTCATTCCATAAAACCAGAGCCTTCAAAACCATTGAAGCAAAACGACTCAAAAGTTGGGGTTTTGGCTGATATCCTCAAAGTTAAAGAAGATAATGGCACTGGTGTGGTCATGAATGGTTCTCTTTCTCTCTCTTCCCCTGCCCCTACTTTGGCTCCATACAATCATGGGTCTCTTTCTCTCTCTTTTCCTACCACTACTGCCACAAAAGATACATCTTTTCATGGGGTTTCATCTGATGTACTTCTTAAAGGTGAGAGCTTTTGCAACTTATTGCCCCCTCCCTCCTCTCTCTCTCTCTCTCTCTGTCTCTCTCTCTCTCTCTCTCAAAGCTCAACCACCATTCCCCTGCTTCTTTTGCAGATAGATTTACAGACAATGTGGAAACAATATTGCCTAACATGAGATACTCAGAGCCCATGCAAGAAGGATTCTTGTTCAGTAATGGACATTGCGACTCCATGAAGGATGCTTCAACTGAAGTGGTTTCAGAGGTTCATCATAGAGATATAGGAACAGATATGACTCCATTAGGGAGCTCAAGGACTTCAAGGTGCCATACTCCATTGAAGAGCTCCTCACCTGCAAGGCACAACACACCAGCTAGTAGGTCAGGGCCATTGAGTTGCTCTAACCCAACCATTGATATATCAGAGTTAAATGATTGTCATTTTGCCAAGCTCGAATGCCAGTCGAATTGGAGCTCGAGAGAAGAGGAGGAGGAGGACGTTTCAAAGAGCTTGAGGCATTTTGAGATGGGGGGTTTAAGGAAGAGTGTTGCAGAGACCAGAGCTTCTTTGTGGGAAGATGAAGAGAGAACCAAGTGTTGTATGAGGTGTGTGTTACTATTTCTGAAATTCTAGTTTTCTTTCTATCCCAATAGAAAAATTGCTGTTTTTTTCATTTGCTTTTTTGGATGACAGATTTGTTAATTGTTTTTTATTTTACTTTTGTTGGGTATATGAATTTTCATGTTTCCTGTGGAGGATTTCTTGTACTTTCTTTTATCAGAGATATGTTGGATTTTTTTTACTATTGGTATGAGAAACTGTTTCATGGAGTACGTTGTTTACCTATGATTTTTTGTATTCTTTGAACTCAAATTTGGGCCTCCCCCTCCCAAATGCCGGTTTTCTTCTTTTTTCACTATTTTCTGGTGTAAGTGTTGTATATTTATGTTTTGCTGTGGAACTGAGATGTTGTTTCATGGAATATGTTGTTGCACTATGAATTATTGTAGCCTTTGGATTCAAAATTGTTCGATTTCTATAGAGTTTGTGCTCTTTGAACTCAAAATTGTTTGACTTCTGTAGAGGGACCATTGGTTTACGTTTATTTATGAATTTGATGGGGTAAAGCCATTGAATCAGATTGCTGTTTGATTCTCTGATCCTCTCTTTCACCCATGGTTTATGTTTGTCAATTTCATAAATTTTCACTAAGTAATTTTATTTTTTGAGAATTTGATAAATTTTGGTTTGGTTTGGTTTGTTTTGTTTTGATGAGAGAGGAAGATGAGCTTCTTCTAGAATTCATTTACCAAAAGAAAGAGCATCTTTGAATTTCTACTTCAATTTCTCTTTCCACTTGTATTTATGTTTTCAGTGACTTGTTTTTAGTGACTTAAATGAACAAGTTTCTAATGTGTCATGGGTTTCAACAATTCTCTGCAATTTTTATTTTCTCTTAAAAAAAATCAGGTCCAACTTATGACTTCTAAAGGGTGGATTCTCACTTTATTATTGCCTCTTCAGTTGATAATCAATGCTTTTTACTCTGGGTTTCTGGGAAATCCTCTCCCGGAATACTATGGGTCTCTGCATCTACTCATTTACTGAAACAGTTGTTCATTTATTGAGTTGCTTCTTTATGAGGGGGCAGGTTTTATTGAGTAGCTTTTTCCTGTTTTATTGGGAAATCCTGTTTTACTGAAACAGATTTATGAGGGGACATTGAATGTTAAAAAATGTTTATGGGGTTTCTAGAAGGAAGATCTGATTTTTAGGAAAAATAATGGGTTTGATGAGTTTCCATGACTCTGAGTTGCAGGTATCAGAGAGAGGAGGCCAAGATTCAAGCTTGGGTAAACCTTCAAAATGCCAAAGTTGAGGCTCAGTCAAGGAAGCTCGAGGTAATTCAATGGAAAACTTTGAATTCACATAAATTTAATACATTGTGCTCCAAAAAAATATAACAAGCCACTGAATCTCCAGTGCAAAATATCAAGTGTGCAGAGTTCCAGTTCAAAATATCAGTGAATCTTCAATGCAGAATCTCAAATATTGCAGACTCTCAATTATTTCTCTCTTACCAGTAAAATTTGTCCTGGAGACTTAAATTTTGGGAAAAGAAGTAAAAACTATGGAATTTTTGGCACGCCCAAAAGATTGAAATTGGCTTCTAATACTCTGTTGCAGGTGAAGATACAGAAGATGAGATCAAGCTTAGAAGAGAAGCTCATGAAAAGAATGGCTGTAGTTCACAGAAGAGCCGAAGAATGGCGGGCACAGGCTCAGTTACAACACTCTCAACACCTTCGTAGAACCTCAGAAGAGGCCCAAAAGATCAAATCACAAGAATCTTATATACCTGATCAATCCTTTTGTGGGTGTTTTCCTTGTAACAATTCTGTTTTTTAATCACAGTTTCTGATGAAAGAGAAAGTAAATAGAAAAAATTGAGAAGCCATTTTTTGTTTCTCTTTCTTAAAACCTCAGTAAATTCTTAAGAAAAGAGCCCACCTTCTGCTCTCTATCTAAAAACATCTGATAAACTCTTGAAAGCGTTTACCCCACTTAGTTTCATCAATCGAAGTTCTCTTATAAAGTTCAGGAGAGACCCACATTTCTCTCTCTATCTAAAAGCTCTGATAGCGAGAGACCCACTTTCTTTCTCTCTCTAAAACTCTCATAACCACTTGGGATTCTCTGAAAAAAGGCACAAAAGGATGAAAAATCGGGCATTTAAGAATCTGGGTTTTCTCTGCAGTTGTGGTTTTGACTGGGATCTTATTGGGAAAAGCAGTGGAATTCTACATAGGTAACAGTGGAATTCTAGAGAGAGAGAGAGAGGAGAGAAAGGGATTGTTGATTGTTGAAGCTTCCTTGAAAATTTAATGGAGATTCTGGAAAGCGCCCCACTGAAGCTCTTCTATATTCCTTTTGAGTAAAAGACAAGGGAGATAAGAACATGGCTCTAACGACGCTAGAGTGAGAAACAGTTTAATCTAGAGAGAGAAACTGAAAAGAAAACAGAGAGAGAAACAGTTTTATATTGTCCTGTGTAATGGAGAGCGCCAGAACTCAAGAACGGAAAACAGTTAGCTATTTCCCCCTTCCATCTTCCAAGAAACGAGAGAGAGAGAGAGAGAGAGAAAGGAGGAAGTGGAGAGAGAAAACTTAGAGAGATAAAGTGGAGAGAGAGAACTTAGAGAGAGAAAAAAAGCCCAAAGTCACGGTTTTGGCGGCACGTACACGAGTCCCATGTGGGCTTTGCTCAGACATGCTCTGTGATCCGTGCAGACACGCTGGATCATGAGGAAGCAGCGTATCTTGCTTTTCAGGCCGTCAGATATGCCACGTGGCGTCTCTAAGTACGAGACCGTGGAGTATTAAGAACATTGTCTGCTTTGACCAAGTATAGCTGCGAGACTAGGGGCTCTCGGGCTAGAGATATTGCACTTTTGGATAATGGAAAAAAGTTATATAAATAAATCTACCTAAAAGTTTTTATAATCGATAATCTCAACCTCTTTTCTTTTTTTTTGTTCGGTAAATAAGTGAGGGGGAAGGCCCTCTACCTTTTTTTTTAACTAATAAGAGATAGGGAAAATTACACCATATTATTTTACAACCTTATAATAGGGTAATTGTGTTACATCACCAAGTAAAGGAGGCTTGGAGCATCAAATGGTGGCCACCGTAAAACCTGTAGCGCTTTTAGCAAGAACATCAGTAATTATATTAGCCTTACGATAAACATGGTAAATAGATCATGATTGATTCTGAAGTTTAAATTTGAAGTTAGTAGCTATAGTATGAAGAGCGTAAAGAGCTTTACACCCGGCCTGAATAACTTAGAAGAGTAAAGAAGAATCGCTCTCAATTTGTAGGGGAAAGCAGTCCATTTGAAAAGCTAAATCAACACCCTCTTGTAAGTCGTGAAATTCAGCGTAATTATTGGAAGCAATTCTAAGAGGAACAAAAAACAGCAATGAATGACCTATCATCCCGTCTGATGACGCCTCCACAACCAGCTTGACTTGGATTCTGAATAGAAGATCCATCAACATTTAACTTAAAATGATGTGACGGTAGAAAAGCCCATGGCACTGTTATGGGTAGCTTGCTCCCTTGCTGCCGCGATGTAAGACGTAAGTTCTCATAAACTTCCTTTTTTGAGATATAGTAAATCGATGCCTTAGCATATACCATGGCAAGCAATCCTTCGAATCAACTTCTCACGAGAGAGTATTCTCCCTTGAAATATACATTGGTTACGCTTCTCTCAAATCATCCGTTGTGAAGAAAAGAGAATGCCAAATATTAAAAATACCATCAAACTTGAACCTGAATGCTAACCATTTCCTCAATGTAGCTGCAATAAATCTGTAGTAAAGCATTTACCATATCTCCATGCTATCGACCTCCATATCCCCTGCGAGAGGACACATTCAAGCAATAGATGACAAATATTGTCATCATTAGAATGACAAAAAGAGCACACAGAAACAAGGGTGATTCCCCTCTATTACATGAAAGAAGAGGTAAGAAAACGACGATAGAGGCTCAACCAAGAGAGCCATTTAGCCGCCATTGGATGACACTTAGATGGCCATAATGCTCTAAAGTTCGGTTGAGAAGAATCCTTATGACGGATGAAATCCCATGCCTCTTTAACATAAAATATTCCATTTGAAGAGTGAATTCACACCAGAAAATCAAGTTGGGATTTCAGAGGAATTAAAGCAACATGCACTTCCTTCTAAATTCTAACCTATTGATTCCAAGTTCTAAGTGCAAGGCCTGATGTGGGGCCGGCGAAATACCAGGATTGTTGAGAACTATTTAAGTAGTTTGCGACTTTAGGCTTGACAAAACTTCCCATGTCCTTCTGAATATGGGAATCATAAAATTCCAAAATGGATTTTTTTGAAAACCATGGATCTGCTCAAAAATCAATTGTCCTGCTATCTCCAATAATCCAGCGAACATTATGGCGCAAGAGAGACAACCCTGTTTGAATGCCCTTCCATGCGTAGGAGCAGGACTTTACGTCAACTTCCCCAATAGAAGAATTTCTGAAATACCTGTGCCTAAATAAATAAGTTATAAGAGAAAATGGGTTCACCAAAATCTTCCATGTCAACTTCATCATGTCTGCATTATTGAATTCTATAGTATCACGAACTCCAAGCCCCCCCTCTTCCATTGGTAAATATACATTTTCTCCACTTTACAATGTGAACCCCCTTTTTATGAGTTGTACCAACCCCTAGAAAATTTCGTTAAAGCCACTCTAAAATACTGCATGTGCGCTTCAGTAGTATAAATAATAGAACTCAAAAAATGGCTAAGGAACTTAACACCCATTTCAACAGTTGTGAGCGACCTACATAAGAGAGGGATAAGGTCTGCCATGTTCGTATCTTGCTAATGAATTTTCTCACGAGATTCTGGCAATTATGGTGCTTTGGGTTACCATGAAACAGAGACAATCCCGAGTACCTAACCTAAAGAGAACCTTCACCAAACACCAACTCCTTCAAGATCAAATGTTTTGCATTCATGGAAGTACCAAAAAAGAAAGCCTACTTTTAGTTATGTTTAACTTCTACTATGTGGTGTTTCCAAAAATATGGAGAATAGAATTCATCTGTCTAGTTGCAGGTAAAGAAGCCTCACAGAAAATAATTGCATCATCGGTATAAAATAGATGAGATACTCCATAGTGACAGCTCGAAGGACAAGCCACAGGAAGAGTACCTTGTTGTATTGCATGATCCAACTGCTTACTTATGAAATCCATTACTAACAGGAAAAGATACAGAGATAAAGGGTCCCCTTGCCGTAAGCCTCTTTTTCCTTGAAAATATCCCCTTGGGCCTTGAGGAACCAAGATACGAAAAGATCTGGGAAACCTAAAGCATGCAACATCACAAGAACAAAACCCCAGGAAACTCAATCATAGGCACTACTTAGATCCAGCAGCACACACATCTTAGGATTGGCTGAGGTTTTGTGACATAGTGAAATAAGCTCATTAGCCATCAATATGTTATATGTGATTAATCTCCCCTTCAAAAAAGCGACTTGTCTGGGATCAATCAAAGTATGTAGTACTTCTCTCAATCTATTCGAGATAAGTTTGCTAATGATTTTGTACAAAACATTACACAAACCAATTGGCTTGGACTCGTTCATGACACTAAGAGAGTTGACTTTTGGGATAAGGCAAATTAATGTAGAATTAATCTGCTTGAGGAATTTACCTTTCCTAAAAAGGTCATGCAATGCCATAAAAATATCCTTTTTGATAATCTTAACCTCAAGATGTACCAAAATAAAAAGAAAAAAAAAATTGAATTTTTAAAATAGTGCATCTCATAATACTCTATTTAAACTATTTTTTAAAATTTTAAACTATTTATATAGTTACTAGATCAACACTACTTTTGGAGCTTCAAATTTCATAGTTATGGTGAAAATAGGCTTTTTTTTTTTTTTTTTTTTTTAACGTGATGTGGAGATTCGTCTTATTTTAATAGATTTTTCAGTAAAACATTGGCTTTTGATTCAAGTAGGTCACAATACTCCTAGGTTGCTTGTAGTAAATTTCGGTAGATAAGGGTGTGTCACTGACTGGGCTTAAAGTCTGTAAGAAAATTTTATTCAAACTAGTCGTAAAATTTAAAACGAAATCGTTTTAAAACTTCAAATTGTTGGATTTCATATTTGACAATTAGAAATAATTGTAACCTTATCGTACTTTAAGTAGAATGATATCCCTAATCTAATGGCATGTTTGGATGTAGTCATTGTTCTTGGTAATTTATTATTTTAATAAAACTAATCGTAATAATAAATTATCAATTGTTTGACAATGTCCATTATAAAGTTACTAAGATAAACATGTAGGTAATTTTATATATAAGTTTGTCTTTTAAAAAATTTGGATAATCCCTATAGGATTTACTTCATCTAAAACTCGTTAGTATAACAATTTCGTAAGATAATTGGGTCATTTGGACCTCGTATATGCAAAATCAAGTTTTGCATATCCTGAAGGGTGAGATAACGTTTGGATGCATCTTCGGATTTGAAAGGTGAAAGGATTAAGAGTTTTCATATGGAAAAAAAAAATCAGTGCTTTAACAATCTTTGATCCTAACAAAAAATTAGTGGGGACCTACTTGGTTTCTCGACGAAATCACGAATAGGTCCAATTTTGGTATACTCTTTTGATTGTGTCAAAGAATTAGGCGAGTCTGTCAAGACGATCAGATTGGTTGAAAAGCCCAACTCTTATCTATTTCACTTTTTATTATTTTTAAAAAATTTGAATTTTTTTCAAATTTAGAATCATCATTATTTTAATTTTTTGGACTGATTATCACACCAAAGAATCGGTCCAAATCGGACTAGATCAGCGATTCAGATGGGTCTAGTAGGTGACCACTCCTTGCCCCATCCAGGTTTTAAAACTATCACCTCTCTCTCTGAATTATTCAATCTGTCTCTCTACCCAAAAAAAAGATGAGTTCTGGGGTTGGGGTTGGGCCTGGGCCTTCTTTAGTTCCGATTGCTCAAGTCCATGGTTGAGCCCAATCCTTCAAGCTCATTGTGGGCTTGGGAATGGTCCACGTCACAGCCCATTTACACCCTTAGGTTTGCTCATGACCAAACACTAAGGCGAACTTCTTTTTTTTTGTCATTTTTAATAGAATCATGTTTCATTTTGTAAATATATTAAAACTCCAATTCAATAAACAAAGAAAGTTCATGACCAAAACTAAGCTAAGACCACAACCCAAGTTCGCATGCTTCCATGCACAGCTGGCTCTTATGCATAAAAAGAATTTTAAGGGTCAAAGTTCTTAGGCTACAGATACATCCGGTTGTTTGCACGTTAATAAAGGAATACAAGGATTCTTTATCTAAAACATAAACTATCTTTTAAACAAATAAAAGTATAGAGCCCTGTTTGTCTGCTACTCCACAACCACTTCATTATTTTCATTCTTTTATAACAATTCTCTCTCTCTCTCTCTCTCTGTCTCTCATGGATATAAAAGAGTCTAAAGCAGTGAATGAATATCGGCTGGTACAAATCGGAATCGGCCACAGGCCACTTTGAGTGATTCTTATGGGTATTTAAAAAAATTTATCTAAAATCTCAAAAATAAAGAATTTGTTTGCAATGCATTTTTAAATGTTTTTTTATTATTTTAGAAAAAAAAAATAGAAAGTGTTTTGGTCATGAATATTTATTTTTACATTTTTTTTATTTTTTTAAATCCATTTTTTCACTGATTTTCATCTTCATTTGGATGTGCTTTATTTAATCACACTTTAAATATACTTTTCACATATTTTTAGATTTTTTTATTTTTTTATTTTTTTTTTTAATACTTTTTTAACTGGCCGAGACTTGCCCAATTAGGCCGATTTATAGCTTACTCAAAACCAGCCCTTGGACGGTTTCTGAGGCAGGTTCAATTTTTTCGAACAGGGGGTCTAAAGTCTATGCTTTTAGCCAATAAACTACCAAATGAAGTGAGTTTGGCTTAGAACACTAGTTAGTGTTTTTTTCCAGAAAGAAAATTTCTTGATCTTGGGTAGGTGCCCAAGGTATAAGAATTGTTTAAGGGAGCATGCCAGAGTTGTGGACCAAATGTTATTCTCTCTCTCTAAATTTAATCGCTGTATATGACAGCATGCACAAGTTTTAAAGCTAGGGTTTGAAAACACTATTCAAACCAAGCACCTAATCTCAATATATTAATGGGATTTGACAAAAGCCGGTTTGTCGCCCGTGTTGGCTGCATCATCTTACAATGCTTGGAGACAAAAGTGCAGTGCGCGCTTGGCAAGAACCCGAAACCGGAAATATTCGGAACGTGTCATTATCGGGATCCAAACACCATGTCCTACATACAATATAAACTTTTCCCCCTCTTAAATTCTTATTTTGGGAGAGTGTGTACGTTCCAAATTCATATGAAAGCAATATGTAGTCTGGTATTTCAAAAAGGAAAAACTTTATATATGGTTGCAACCTTGAATTGGAGGATCACAGTTGCGTCTCAAAAATCCATTGAAAAAGGTTTTTTTAGTGATAAAAAACCCTCTAATTGATCAT